TAATGGGTGTAACATGGTAGGGCTGCCTTCTCACCCCATGCTCAGCAGAGCTTCCTTAGCACTCCCAGTCATGTTTCTGTGCATTGACCACATCAAGTTACTTGTGCAAACCCACACAGCATCCACTCCTTTTCAGGAGTCTGATGGCTGACCATAGGCCATTATAGGTGCAACAAGCTACAACCCCTCAACTGCTGCCACTTGCCATGTACTCTGAGATCAGTCATGCTCTGCCATTAGCTGGCAATGCCAGTGACTTGTAGAGCTTTTTGGGAAATCTTGGTTCCTAACTTATGGCTGAGCTGAGGCTGTGCTTACAGCATCCTGTGATTCATTAACCTGGTAACGATCTCAGAGTGAACATTAATGGCCTTTGTGAGAGTATAAAATGATGCATCACTGCCAAATATCTGGCTGTGGTTAACAGCTTCAACTCGAAAGGTAAGCCCCACAGAGGAAAGTATAAACACATTATTTAAAAAAACCCTCTCAAAATAAACCTTAAAGGACAATAAAAACAAAACAGTTACAATATAAACACACCCTTTTGTGCCTCTCTGTTGTAGTGCATACTGCAGAACATATGGTGTATAAGATCACCCACGGACCAAAGTTTCCTGTACAGGCTAACAGTAACTCGAGACGGGGAATAGCAAGACATGCTTTCTTTTACTCCTGCTACCAGGGACCCGTTCTGCATTTCACGTGGCTCTCAGCCCACTAAGAAGGGCTCTTGCAATTCACTAACTGCTCTTGTTAGCAGTGCAGGCAATCAAAACAGATATATCCTGACAAATAGAGGCAAAACGAGAGAGTTGGCTGTACCTGCGCATAACCATGAGACTTGCTGGAAGCCCCGCTCCTAAAGTTACTTAGCAGAAGTGCATATTCACAGGCACAAAGTGTGCAGTCACATTCTCTGTGCCAGCCCTGCTGTGTGCAGGGTATCAGCAGCGCTTTGGTGGTGACATGCCATGTGCACATCTGGGTGAAGTGCACCTGACAGGATGAGGGCAGTCCCATAAAACCCACTTTGATTTGCTTAATGAGCTGCTTATAGCCAAGAATGAAAGAAAGGAGCATGGCAGATACCAAATCTAGTAAGTGCTATTAATGTTGTTTGCTAGCACGTCTTTATGGAATGATACCCAGAGGACATGATGTCCCAGGGGTATCTATACATGCTCCTGCTTCCTACCTGCAAAGTCCTAAAGCACCACCAGAGGGGAAGGGGCCAAGAGAAAGAGCCTGTTGCTCACATCATTAGGTGCCATCTAATTAATCAAAATAATAGTTTTAAAAATTACTTTCTAGAGCTGAGATGGGCCACCCCCAATTTCCCCTCTATTGCTACAGACCCTGAGATGCAGGTCAAACATAAATATTCAGATGTTCAACAACTCCACCCCTGCCAGTGCCAGGTCACATTCACAATCTCCATGTCACATTCACTCCCATTCACAACACAAACAATGGCTGAAATCCAACTTAAAAAAGGGCCTGTACCAGAGTCGGATGCTCTGGGACCACAGGGCTCCAGCTGCTCACCCCAAAAATGCCAGGGGGGCTCATTAGCGCATAGTCCAGTCTTTTTCTATGCTGTTTGGAAGATGAACAAATCTCCTGGATTTACTGGTCTGAGTGGCTGATGTAACGAGCTCTGCGCAGCTTCTATGGGCCTGAGGCGCCGTGAAACTGCCAACAGCTACAAAGGTAATTTAACTGGTGTAAGTTTGAAGTGCAGTTCACATTAAGTACCAGTGGGTAGTAAAATACTTCTAATTATTCCCATGTCCCCAAGTTTTCACACCTCAATTTTTTTAATATTCAATTCCTCTGTTTTCCTTTTTGGAGTTAATTTTTTTTTCCAGGCAAAAAGGAGCACAAATACAGTACGATACACAAACTGACACTATCTGCGATTTGGTTTACAAAATATGCGGGTTTTGGGAATGGCATATACAACATACATTTTCATAAGGGACCATGTCAGACACAGCAGTTCTTTTCCCTCAACAAAAATAAGCATTGTTTGCTAAGTCTGTTTTTTCTTTGGCTAGAGAGAAGTTTTCAAAATTCTTCCTTTTTTTTCAGTTTATGCCATTTTCACAAAGTATTTTCTAGCTCCATGAACTGCCCAAAGCACAAGCCGCAAAAGCACAGAGCTAATGGATAGAGGACCAGGAGAAGTCTGAATGTGAACATGCAAGTTCAGTATCCGGTGAATTTGTCCCCAGGTGTCCCTGCTCACACTCAGCCAGCTTTAACACCAGCATAACAGCATTTAATGGCTATCACAACATTGTCATGAACCACAATATAGGCTCTACTCCTTTTCTTAAAGCACCAACTTCAATTCTTGCATATACATGAGATTCTCAGCATCTGTTATTTTTTTCCAGTTTCCAATTATTTTAATGTTCAGGCTTTTTAGCCTGCTTTTCAGTTAAACAGCTGGAAATACGCCCTCTAAAGGCATAGAGTTTGACATGGAGGGCTTTAGGAACATAAACGTGGCATGGGGTCTCATGGCCCATGCTTCCCAAATGCTTGAGGCTGACAAAGTGTTAATATTTTCCTGGCCTTACCTTAGTGTGTTATTGTCAATTTTTATTCTGCTATTGAATATATGGCCTCAGGCAAGCATTTGCCCTCTTTGCCTCAAATTTTGAATCCATGAAATAACAAAGGAATTACAATAGTTTGACAGTTATGAAAACACATGACATTTATACTCATTTTACATAATGCTTACTTCTCAAAAAATGGATGCATTACCTCAGATTTCATGTTAATGTGCTGGACTATCATGGAAAACATCTCCAGAGGCAAACAGAAATAGTGTACAATTCATGGCAGGTGAAAACTTCACAGCATGAGGCTGTAGCAAACCCCTTGCATCTGAGGAAAACCAAATCATATTATACCAGGAGGCCAAATGAGCAAAAGAACGTTATCGCTTCATCTACTGAAAATTTCCTAAGCCTAAGGTGCCCCAAACACATTTATATGAATGATTTTAGACTAGATAGATGTCTTAATATTTAAGATGTCAGATGGAGTAATATGTAAGTAATTATGTTTTGCCTTTCATTCAGTCTTTGTCAGGGGTACAGACTGATGGCCCTGGAGATTGAAGGCTTCTGCCTAGATAGTGGAACTACCTGTTTTTAACACTATGAGTGCAAGCTTTCCCTGTCACACTTTCCCAAAGGGGGCAAAAAGCAGGACTGATCTATTCAGTGGTTGAATCCTGTCCGGAAGAAGAGAGTCCTTGCTTTGGTAGTCTATGGAAATAAATTAATGTATGGAGTATTTACAGCTCGTTTCCAGGGCAGCAGTGAACTGGCATTGGTACGGAGCACAGCTTCAGTGAGTCTTATGAGTGCTGCCCATACTATGACTAGCTAATGCAAAAACTGTCACCACTGTGTGCCCCTACCTTTGCAGATCTACCCTGAACAGGCAGTCTGGGGTTATATCTACCCTGGGACAGGCAGGGCAGCAAATCTGAGACTGTCCCAAACCTCCTCTCAGCAGCAGATTTGTCTGAACTGAAGGTTTTGGCTCCTGCAGTGTGAAGGCAGTGGGAAAGCAGAGGGTGGAAAACTACTTATAAATGGACCAAGACACAGTGGTGACAAAGATGATTTGCCATTGGGAGCAAGGGAGGTACTGGTGGAGGCAGCAAGTCCTGGCTCAACATGACCTGGCAGTGTGCACTTGCGGCTCAGAGAGCTGCGTCCTGGGCTGCATCTCCAGCACCATGACTTGTTAGTCAAAAGGGGTGATTCTGCCCCCTCTTCTCCAACCTTGTGAGACCCCCATTGTGATGCTGAATCCAGCTCTGGGGCACCCAGCATCAGAAAGATGTGGACCTCCTGGAGCACATCCAGAGAAGGCCACAGAGATGCCCCAAAGGCTGGAGTACCTCTCCTGTGAAGACAGGCTGAGAGAGCTGGGCTTGTTCAGCCTGGAGAAGAGAAGGCTCTGGAGAGACCTTAGAGCAGCTTCCAGTACGTAAAAGGGTCAACAAGAAAGCTGGAGAGGGGCTTTTGACAGGGGCCTGTAGGGATAGGACAAGGAAGAATGGCTTTGAACTGACAGAGGGGAGATTTAGATTAGATATTAGAAGTTCTTCATTATGAGGGTTGAGAAGTTCTTCATTATGGCACAGGTTGCCCAGAGAAACTGTGGCTGCCCCATCCCTGGCAGTGTTCAAGGCTGGGTTGGATGGACCTAGTGGAAGGTATTCCTGGAGACGAGGTGATCTTTAAAGTCCTTTCCAACCCAAACCATTCTGTGATTCTATTCTATGAAGTAAATCCACACCAGAGAAAAATGTAAGCATGAGAGTTTTCCTGCTTATCTGAACACAACTGAGCCCTGAGGATTCCCATAAGACTTTGCTTTCAGGAAGCCAGCCGCTTCCCTGGCAATCTCCACCCTCCTGGAAGGTGCACCCCATCATCGCACCGCATGGACTGGCAGAAGCCAGCAGCAAGCTTCTGGCCCATGAGACAGGGAGACCTTTTTCAAATCCATCTATGAGTTTTCCCAGTGTTTAATACAGGCCTGGATGGCTTTATGTGCTGCCCAGGGTGCCCACCAAAGCCAAAACAGGAATGAAGTCCTAATTTTTTTTGAGGTGATGGGATACTCAGGCTGACCTCAGCAGCAGTCTGGAGTCAGGAAGGAGAGACTTGCTCCTAATCTACCACTGTAACCATGCTCCAGCGACGCCTGTACTTACTGCCTATTCATACAACAGCACACATTTAAGTTTAAATTCAGTGCAGAACACAATTCACCAGCTAGCCATTAACAGTGCTACATATGGATGTTCAAATCAGGTTTACATAACCAATAGCAAGGCTACTACTATCTACTCACTGGAGCAACCATTAAGATGAACGAACATCACTATTTTATCTGTTCACTTTCAGCTGTTGCCAGCCTTGTATGGTTGTGAAGAGCCTGCAAAGGCCACTCAGCAGTAATACTTGACAATTCTGCTTTAATTTACCCAGCCTCCATCCTCCCTATTAAAGAATGCCAGTTATTTGCAAAGTCATTTGTGAGAATGTGAATATGCCACATGAAGGGAATGAAACCATTTCTCAAACTCCTGCTCCAGCCTTGCAAAAATTAATTAATCCTGTAAAAAAAGAAAAGTGTTTCATTGAACTGCACGATATGAAAATGCATTTCTTCCATAAAATCAGAAACACACTGCCCCATGCTTTCCCTGCCCATACCCTGGTTAGTTTGCCCTCTCCTGAAAGATCCCATTCCATATGTCACTATTACCTAATTGAATTAGCAACAGTTCACAGTAAGTAATAAAAAGGAAAAACTTCACAGTGTGATGAGCAGACTTTTACAAGTTGGCATCATAACGGTAGAAAAAAACCAGAAACCTCTAAGAAATACCATTAAGAATTATCAAAATATCTTTGGGTCTCACATGCCAGAGCTGCAGCTACAACCGCGCACATGCATCGCATTTTGCTGATCTTGAGGCTCATTAGTGTGAGCACAGCTGTTTTCTCCGGGAAACTGTCAGCCTCTTGATGTAATACTGACTTGGTGGGGGGAAGCTGCTTTAATTACCACCTGGAAATAAACAGCAAGTGTTTACAAGCGGCAATAGGCTCTCCCCTGGGGAAGAATACACAGCTTTCTTAACTCTTTAGTTCTGTGACCCTGGTATTTATTTACTTCTGTTTCTATTTGCACAAAGCCTGGGAGTGGCAATGGTTGTGGCTTAGGACTGGCCAATACAGAAGCAGCCTAAATGTCACTTGACATGAAGAGTTGATAACCTCGGGCTGAGGTACAACGCAAACCAAGTGCAGCTTCTGCATGCTCAGTTTTAATGTTCTAACTTGGTGGCACTCTCAGCATGCAGCATATTCATCCCTGAACAAAACAGGTCAGGAGCACAAGCACCTGATTGGAAAGATCTATATCAGATACCAGTGCAATTACAGGCTCCAAGCACCTGAAATGCAAAGGAAACCAAATCACACCTCACTTACAGTTGCACATCTGAGATATTTCTCCGAGAGCTGAAGGATACCTACCAGACACGTGAGGGTTTTGCTTTATCTCCAAGTACTGGGGAACTTGAAAGACTGCTAAGCAAGAGCATGTTAACCAGTCCATAATCATGGCAAACTCACCATATGGTAACTGGAAACATAAGGACACATCGACCTCAGTGATGCTGGATACACATTGCAAATCCTTTTGTGCCTTCCTCTGCATTCCCAACAGGACAACAAAGCTGGCAGTTAAGTAGAAGCAAAAGAGTCAACTAGAAATGCGTAGCAAGAATCCAGAACTATCTAAGATTTTTCATCTGCACAGTAAGGAAGGATGCGTGTGCTATCTGTGGAGACCACCACATACCACCTGTTCCAAAGCAGAATAAATTATCCTTCAGAGGAGGCTTGCTGTCCTCAACAACTAGATTGTTACTTCAGACAACTAATTTACTACAAGGCATCATAGTTCTGGTAAGTTAAATAGCATTCTCAAGAATGTCTTATATGATTAGGTATTCAATATGTGATTCCTATGGCAGCACTGCAAGTTTAGAGGCTCTTCAGGGTTACCCATATTAGAAAACTGAGAATATAACACCAAAAGCTAAAAACATAACACAGGCCCTAAACCAGCAAGACTTTAAATACCTTCTGAGGCCAATGACATTGCAGACTGAGTTTGCCATTGTGAATTTCTGATACCCAAACAGCTACAGCTCACAAAGAAAAGGGTTAGTGTGAAAGTTGGCCCTGTTTCTGCAGCAGCATCACTGCTACACACTCTAGAAAGCCAAATACACTGCTGGGGCAGTGTGTGTGCTTTAATAGGAATGCAAAGTGGTGTGGGAAGAAAGGGAGAGAGCCAAGCAGCTGGCTTCAATTAATCACCAGCTCTTGTGGAGGCTGAGAGGATGACTCTGGGGTTGTGAAGACAATACTTCATAGGCTGAGGAGAGAGACTGGGAGGAGGTGGGTGGTGTGGGTAGGCTGTAATGGTGTGGGGCAACCTCAGGGCATGTTTGTGAGGCACATTGGGGAGCAGCAGTGGGGGAGCAGGAGAATAGCTCTGCAAATAGCATCAAGCCAACAACTAGATAAATACAGCTATTGTGGTTTAGACTTCAGGAGAGTTTGGAGGGGGTGGGGGTTGATAACTGTAGTTATTATAAATGCTGTTATTTTGTGGGTTTTCTTTATTTTCCCATCTTCAAGTTCTCTTTTTTTTTCCTTTGTAGCTGATTCACCCTTGTTTGCTCTCAGGGGCTCTGCTAGCAGTGGGATAGCTGATGTAGCTGAACTCTTAACAATTCCACATGTGGGAGAAATACTCCAGCTGCTACTAAAAGCAGCATTTATGACTGTGCTTTTAAGTGTGGTTTTGGAAGCAAGGTAAAACCGTATCTGTCTAAGACTGTGCTTCCCATTCCTGTCCCTTTTGCAACCAAATGAGACCCCTACCTCAGAAAGAACATATTTTCTCTGTGTAAATAACACTGCACTTCCCTAAAGGCCTGTCTCTACCCTATGTAAATAAAATCACAGCCCCTCCAGGCCTGTCAGTGCTAGGCATTAATGAGCCTGCAAAATTGTTTCTCCTGTCATTTGATTTGGCAGTGCAGATGCTTAAGTCTCTCAATGTGTTACTCAGAAAGTTTGGAAAATGTAAAGTATGCCTGAGAGAAATGCCAAATCCCTTAACTCATGGGGGAAGCGTTCATATAACTTAGAGCAGAAAAAAAGCGTTCTCAGTGGTGTTTACTGTGTGCATTAAAACTTTCCAGTTGTTAAGAACTGGCTATATCTGTACAAAAGCTGTCTGCTAATACATAGAAGCACCCAGACAATAGTAAAAATGGTGAGTTTCTGCAAAGTCCCTGTGTGCAGGCCAGGCAGAGCACATCTATATGCAACACCAAGGCAAGATGTTGCTTTTATTATAAAACTAGTAAAAATTTGTCACAATCTATGCCAAAATGGAAGAGAAGATTTTCAAAAATCTTTGTTAAGGGTATCTTAACTGAAAATCAAACCCATGGCTGTATACCAGCACTGCCCACTGACTTCAGTCCCAGCCATGCCAAGAAGAGATGGGATGGATTATTTGTACATGTGGGAAGAGTTAAATTGCTCAGTGCAGTGGTGGCTGAGGGCTGGTGGTGTCCCTCCTCCAAGGCCTTTGCACTTGGAAGAGATCTGGAGACCGAGAACAGTACAGGTAAACTGGGATCCAGGTCCTCAACTCTGAGGGATGGGGCTTAGCTGGAAACATCTCCCCCAGCTAGCAAAACAGCTGGCTTGCACCTGCTTTTTCCTTCATCTAACTCCCTTCTGTCTCAGGATAGTGGTAACAGGGTGGTCATCCCCCACAGCTCGTGCGGACACCAAGGTGATCTGCCTGCATGGTGCCACATCGCGCTTGTCTGGTACAAGGCCCTACATGCTGAAGCAATGATGTTTGAGAAGGAGCTAACTACAGCAGTGCTCGGGCTGCTGGTCAATTTACTCGTCTGTGATTTCAGTGTGAAATTGGGAAGTACTCAATTTCCTTACCCGTTTTTGTATAAGCTTGAAAGAAAGTGATGCAAGTGTGAGCAATGAAAGGCTGGAAGGGATCTCTCCCAGATTCTGCTCCAGGCAAACAGACCTGAGTTCTGTTTCCACCAGCTAAGGGACAGAGCAGCACCTGCTTCTGGCATCTCATTCACCAGGTGCCGTTGGGCAGGACCCCAGCGGAGACTTTGGGATTTCAGCTCCAAAGCATCTGGCTCCCTCTTGTGCTTCCCGTGTTTATGGCAAGAGAGGTTGCACGGGGCGAAGTCCACGCCGTGGAACGCGCTGGCGGAGATGGCCCTTGCTCATCTCTTTGTGTCCAGTTGGAGAAGCGGATCACATCAGTAGCTGTTACTTAAGACCTGACCCGATAGGGACCATCTCCATATTCTGGTACCCTTGAGTGTGCAGGAAATACGAAGCTGTTCCAGGATCAAGCTAGGGACTAGGGTATGAAGAACCATAGGCATTACACACAGCCAGCTGCTTACATCTTGATCAGGGATGAGTTGTGACTGTCAACCATAGCTTCTGCCTTGGAGAAAATCCACCCTTCCTCTGCATGATTCAGTCCAAGTGACAGCACTGCCATCTGTACGTGCAACGCTCAGCATGCAATGTTCTTCCTCCTTCACAGTGTTAGGAATTTACAGAGTATGAAGTTATTTCATCTGTTTTTTCCAGTATTTTATACAGCTTTTTTTTGGTAAAGTACTCTGTGTAGCAGGTCCTGATCTATACTATTCCTTTTACAAAGGTGGTAGCAGTAACAAGAGGTGAAATCCACCTGAGAAATGGCTTTAATGCAGTGCTCCAGCAGCAGTGGCTGCCTGCATTAGAAGTAGTGCTTCTTCTTAACTGAGTTACTTTTACAAGGTTTCTTTAAAGGTCATTAATGGGTGTCAGGAGACAAAGGAAAGCTGTGTTAGCTGAAGCAGAAAAAGGACTTGCTTTCCAGCAGATGTTCTGCAATCCTCTGTAGCTAAGGAAAAAGTAACTACAACCAGATTAGGTGCTGTTGATTCTGTATGTCTGTGCAGTTTTGACTTATTTTTCCTTGTGTGTTTTTTGTTATTTTTTTGTTGAGTTTGTTTATTTGTTTAAATCATAATTAAAATGAATATTTTTGTTATTCTCTTAGCTAAGTTGTATGGGCAGCCTGCTGCAGAAATCAGGGAAGACTCCCATCCTCTAATGGTAGGTGACAAAGGTAATGTATCTACATGTGATATTACTATGCTCTTAGTTTAAAAGAGAAGGATGGAAAACGTCTTTTCATTAGGAACTGTAGCTGATTAAGGGGTAGAAGCCCAAAAGACAAAAACCGAGTTATTTTTAATTAAATTGGATAGAAGCCACATATCCCATAAACAGCCACCAGCTGTTTAAATGCAAGCTAAATGCAAGGGAAGAAGTCACCACAGAAATGTTGTGCAATGGAGAAGGAATTTCCCCAGTGCTCACTTGGCTCTGATCTACAGCTGCTCTTCTCTTGCACAAGATGTGCAACACAAGACGACTGTGTGTATTTGTTTACGGGAGGCCCCTGAGAGCCAAACCGGAGCTAAGTGAGCACCTCTGCTCCTCCGGATACACAGCCTGCTAAATTCATCTCCTCTCTCCTGGTGGGAGCACGTCCCCATTCGACCCCAGCTGGCTGCAGGTACTCTCACCCTCTGGTTGATGACCTCATCACCCTGATGGCTGATGACTATTGTCTGTTTTCATCTGAAGTTTATGCGTTTGAATCTCCAGTGTGTCCAGATGAAGATTTAAGCCTAAAAGTTGTCTTAAAGAATGAGTAATTTGCTAGTAATGCTGTTTGGTTTTGTGTTTTCTTTGTAAAATAAGACACATGGCTCCCAAAAGCAGCAAGTGCTACTTCCTTAAGAAAATGTCATGAGGACATTGCAATCTTTCAGATGTGACAGGTCTTTTGTAGTCTGCTTTTTTAACAGATGCACAGAGAAAGTTTCAATGCAACCCAAAGGTGGCAGAGGCAGTTCTGATGACAACAATTAAACCTGCAGGAAGGGATTTTTTTTCCTGATGGAACAACCTCCTTCCTGCAGGAATTGAATAATTTTTTACATTGCATAATTAGATGCACAGGTACAATGGAGAGTAAAGGTGGCTTTGTCCTCCCTGTGCTTTCTGTCGGTGATGGTGAAAGGACTCCAGTCAATCATTCCCCCTCCATCCACCTCCCCCATCCCCTCCGGTCAATCTCGGAGATTGCTTTTGCCTCCAAATTGTGTATTTCGCTGCTAAGGGATGTCAAATTTTCTCTCAAAGCCTCAGCTCTTCAGGTGACAGAAAATGGTGTTTACCCCACTAACCATAGCAGGGTGCTGCCAGGAACTGGGCTCAGGTTCTGCTGCTATTTGTAACCTTTTCAAATTATTCTTTATTTTTTACGCTGTGTCAGTAGGACTTGTATCTTAAGTCAAAATTAGGCTTTGTATTTTTACAACATGAACTGTTATGTAACCTCCTCCAGCGAAGGGCAGCAAGCATTGGAGCAGCAATAAGGACAAATACTTTGTTGAGGTCCCACGAGCAAATTCTCTCTTCAAATTAAAAGGCAAACTAGATGCTGAGAATACAATGGCTTAGATCTAGGAATAACATCTGATATGGTTTCCCGGGTATTTTCCAATATACACAAATACAAAATGCCTTTCCCAAGTGGAGTTTAATAGATACAGCAATGCTTTGTTTGCCATAAAAATTACCAGGACAATGAGAGCCGGCCAAGTCTCTTACCAGACCTACTACTGATTTGTTTTGTTGTATTTGGTTAATATTCATGGTAATGACAAAATCGGACTTTCATTTTTTTTTTTTTCTAAACATTTATTGTTTTCCATGGTATCTACATTGTGAAGGAAGGAACGAATACATGTTTTATTTATGATGTTATTCTGCTAAAATGCTGTTTATATTTTTACTGCAAATATTTGTTTATCCTGGTAGATCACAGCTTTTTTTTTCTGTTACAGAAAGCAGGTTCCTCTGTGGGCTTAAATCTTAGAGTAACTCAGTCACTGGCCATACATGCCACAGACTTTCTACCACCACTAGTGTAAAGACCCTGTCCTGCCTTGTCCTTGCATAGCTACAAGGAACCATCAAAGGTGACAAAGTTGGGGTGTTTGTGGCCGATATCATTGCAAATATGACATGGAAAAGTAGCCCCAGAAAGCCTGGAGCATGACAATAGCTACTACTTGCTAATTCACCCTGGATCCAGTCCCTATTTACTAGGCACTCCATAGAAATCAAAAACAAAAAAAAACCACAACAAAAAACCCCAAACCACCAATGCAAAGCTCTTTTTGTCTAAAGAAATTACATCCTCGGTATGAGACCAGAGACACCGGATAGGAGAGCACTTGGAAACAATGAGTCAATGCTGGCTGGTGGGTGCAAGGGAAAGACCCCAGCACTCAGCAGCCGGGCACTGCCAAGGACGCAGTGGCAAAGGGGTACTTGACAAATGGATCTGAAGAGGAGCTGTTGCAGCTAAACCAGGATTCAGCAACAAAATTGTATTCATCTGTGATGTTTTCATGATTTTAAGACACTAAGATTCTGACTGAAAATCGCTCAGTAAAAATGAGTTGCTTGCTAGGCAGTAAGATCTGAATGACACCTGTGCCCATGCTGCAAACTGTTATGTTGTCAAACTTGACTCAAAAAGTGATGCTCAGCCAGTAGTTATCAGTCAGGATTCAAACTAACACCAATGCCACTGTTTTACCAGTCCAGCTCTAAACATTTATAGTAGTGAATAGGAAGTACTAATGCTGTGAATCAGAAAAAGAGAACAGAAGCCTCAAGGGACACCTTATCACCGTGTTCCAGTAAAGAGTGGCTACAAAGAAGATGGAGATTCCCTTTCAACAAGGAGCCACATAGAAAAGATGAGGGGCAATAAGTACACAGTACTTCTGGGGGAGATTCTGGAAAAAAAAAACCATGTTATTGCTTTTATGAAAATAAACATACTTATTTTTTACTGTCAAGAACTTCCACTACCATCTTCTAAGGTCTTTTTCAAGACATGACAAGCCTGTATATTTAATAAGCATTTCATCCCCTCAAGCATCAAAGCTGTATCTTCTTCTTGCATCCCAATGACAAGAACTTGCTTTTGCAGATAAAGCCAACAGAAACAGGCCACTACTCCTGTTTTCAGTGGTCATCTCCCTATGCACAGAAACATGACTTCAGTGCAGTATTTTGTACCAGGTTGGCTTACCCAGCTTTGTCAGTCAGACTTCTTATGATAATGAGAACTCTTAAAAAAAATTGTCTTTTCTCATCCTGTGCTCTCTGATGACAAGAGAATGAAAGTGCATACGCCCAGAACACATCTAACAAAGGAAAAAGGAGCTGTATCTGGACAGAAGAGGCCTAACTTCTTCAGTCTCTTAAGCTCAGAAGAGATACAGAGATAATTTACTTCCTGTTCCAAACTTCATCAGGAGGAACAGGCTTGTTCACCCTCAGATGCAGACTGTCCAACCTGTGAGTGGGAGCAATGTGACAGATCTTTAGTGACACAGATGTGCACAGGTATAGTCTGTACAAGTACAGCATGTAAGCAACATAAACACTAGCTTTCTACCTGCTGCGAAACAGGCTCTGAATCTCATTCCTCGCTTTCTTCATAAACTCAAATACCTCAGAAGGATTTCCTATAACATCAATGTGAGTATCATAAAAGATGATCAAAACATGAGGGTAATGGGGTTTCACACTTTCACACGCCCTCCTATATCTCTGCTTTTCATCTCTGGTGTGTTCCTTGAAGTCAATCCTCTCCTTACGCAGAGTTTTATGGAGTTTTATAGACCAATTTTCAATTTTCTCTTTGACTTGTAATGCGTGTCCAGCATCAGACCTACTTCCAGTATTCTCGATATATAGTGTAGTTACATCACCATCAGTGATGTCAAAAATCACAGTGTCATCACTTACTATGAAAGTCCTGGGAAAAAAGGACTTCATGTAGCGATATATATCTGTGTCAAGAACAACCACCTGTTTTTCCGCACCATGAACAAAATTACTCATCTCCGTGGTAAGTCCATGCTGCTGTTGCCTCCTTCTTGGTCTCTGGTGGGACGTACCTTTTTCTCTTTTGTCCTTCTCTGAAATGGATTTTGCTTTTAATAAGAGAAAGTCTCTTAGCAATTTGATATCTGGAAATGACCCTTGAACAGAAATATGCCCATTGGATTGCAAAGGACCAAAGCTCAAATCTGTACTCTTTTTCATTTCTTGTATCAGATCTTCTAAAATGAATTGTTCTTTGAAAATAGACATATTGAGGACACATGTGACAGAGCTGAAGACCTAGAATTTTGAATTGGATAAGTTAAGTAACGGTTAAGATAGCAATGGAAGTACAACTAGATAAATTATGAAAGAGCTTACATTTTCAGAGAAGCGGGTTACTTCCAGCGGGTAGTATCTGGAGAACCTCTTGTCCTCTAGTCGATGTTCACCCTTTTTTAGAACACTCTCTACAACTGAAGAGAAAGCCAGATTCATGCAGTAGGATAATGCATTAATGCAGGTCTGATGGCAGAACATTTCATGGGTATTTTTCTCTTGATGCTTTCCCTCACAATGTTGCAAACGTACACATAGGTAATTCACTATTTTTGCCTAATACTTTATGATTAGCCAGTACTGTTCAGAGAGAGAGGCAGAAGCCTGTCTTCTTAGAACATTAATTGGCAGAGATTTATTCTCAAATGCCTAACTACAAAAATTCTGTTATGCATGGTATAAATTTATTCCTAAAAGCAAACATAACAAACACTTTGCAAGAAGCCTGTTTAGAGGAAAAAAAAAATAAAATCCTAGTACCAGCAAACAATTTAAAACAATTTCTTTTAGGATTAACATTCTAGGGCTAATTCTTTAGAGGGCATCTGTATTTTCTACAGTACATTCATCTAACTACCTTTTTGGTCTTCAAAAGTTACATATGCAACTCCTTTTTTGTCTGTGGGATATATTACGTCCTCCACATCTCCACCGTTGTTCTTTGACATTTGGAAATGAATTGTCAGTATGTCGGTCATGACATCATTGTGCAGAAGGCCATCTGGAACACCAGTGATGACAACTGTCCTTGCTGATTTAGCAGCTTGTCCTGTCGCCTGCACACAGGAGACACGGCACACCATAAATGCAAGGAGTCCCGGTGACCTCCCACAGAGGTTACCCAGATTCACACCCATTGCTGAAGGGACTCCCCTTCCCTTTGCATAAGCAACCTGTTCATTTACTGAGCAGTTTAGAAGACTGATGAATCAGATTTCAGTGGATACCAGCCTCCCTTAGGCACCTTTACAGTACAGCGCAGTACGAAGTAGCCTGACTCTTAATTGTAATTTACGCCTTCTCAGTATCTTCTTAAAGCAGTAAAAATTAGAACTAAATTTGCCAGTTTTTCAAATGAAAGGCCCAGTGTCACACTGACGACGTAGTTTCTTCTTGATTCTACTATTCAAAATCTGAAGAGAATGAAAAATTTTAACTGCACTTACTGTTCAGTAAAGATTGTCTTTTCAGAGGGGAAGGGTCAGATTCAGACTGTACTTGTTAAATTCATGAGAGCTGGGATCTAGGGTTGTGTTCTGACTCCTCTCTCTCCACTTATTAAATGGATAATTGTTAAATTGGAAGAACATAATCCCAGTCATCTGAGACTTGCAGTGCATAAAACAACTAGCACCACACATGATTTTCATCAGAGCCAAACCTCCTAATGCTGCAAACATGAAATCCATCCTAAATAGGATTTGCATTCATGTCTTGTTAAGAAAAGCATATTTTCTTTCCATTCTCATTACACAGACATAAACAGTAATACTTCACTGGGAATATCATGGCACAATTACTGTAAATAGTGGAACACTGAGTAAATTTTGTAACAGTTCATTGACTTTTTGGAAGAAAGAAAATAATTTAGTATATCTGCATGGCAGCATTCACAGGAATGAACTGTCAATAACTTCAAAGTGACTGCACTCATGGTCAGCCACTCCCGCTAAATTCTTTGGACTTCTCTTACAAAGCTTCTTCTAGACTCTGGGCTGCATAAAATATTAGAGCCAGCACAGCAATTACAAAGCCTGTAGAATGTAGAATGCGCTGCCAGGGGCGAATGCTCTATTGACATGCGTCAAAAGCCTTGTGGACCACCACCACAGTGTTTCTGAAGAGACAGACTCAATGAGACTGCGCAACCAGGGGAGCTTTTAATTCATAAAGACATGGGGCCTTTTTTTGTCACCATCAAACTTAAAGAGCCAGAAGCTTTAATTATATTAGGCAATTATTTTGGTGGTAATGTTCGTGTGAAAGCAAGTTTCTGCACTAATGAGACAACATGAAGAGAATATAAACAGGGTGCTCCCAAGATTGATGGAGCTATAGGCAGGATTTTCTCACGCTTCACACAGCCGATGCAGCCTAAGCATGAGCGGGAGCACTCAGCTGCCAGACAGCATCTTGCACCTTGCCAGCTGGTATTTTGGAGCAGCACTCATGCCTACTATTGGGGTTAGAAAAAAAAAAATCCACATGAACACACAGTTTGTTTGTGCTGAATCACTTCCAAGACAAGTCTGCATGCAGTGGCTGTTGCTAGATAGAGCTGCACAGCTGCGGGGGGTGCCTCAGGGACACAGGCAGGCGGGTAAGGGAGAGGAGCCCTGCAATGCTGGTCACTGGTGACCACAGTGCCTTGTGCATGGCCAGTTCTTCCCTGTGAGGGTAGTGAGGTGCTGGCAGAGGCTGCCCAGAGAAGCTGTGGCTGCCGCATCCCTGGCAGTGTTCAACGCCAGGTTGGACGGGGTTTTGAGAAACCTGGTCTAGTGGAAGATGTGCCTGCTCGTGGCACAGGGTTTGGAACTGGATGAGCTTTAAGGTCCTTTCCAACCCAAACCATTCCGTGATTCTATGACTTGCTATTTCTTGGCATATCTGCTACACGTATCAACACTGACAAGAGATAACATGAAGACTTACCTATAGACCTCATAGGTTCTCACTGTTATTAAAAAACATAAATAGTAATACTAATGACAGGGAAATCGGACCTGATGCTACCATTAAATAACTTGAGGGTCAGGGCACCAGGCCATGGCAGACAAGACATTTCTTCCTGTGCGGGAACTGAGCGAGGGACAGACAGGTTCACTCGTCTCCCCAGCGCTGCCATTACTTTAAACCCTCTGAGGCTTTTAACAAGCGAAGCAGAAGGCTGCTCTCTGCGCCCTGGCTGGCGGATCCAAGCCGTGCGGGGGGTGGCGGGGACTGGAGAGGACAGCGGGAAGGCCAGCGCTCTCCCCATCGCCCTTCTCCGAAGCCTCCCGGAGCGCGCCGGCCCTTCCTCCCGGAGGTACATTGCTCCCGCGGGCCCGGCCCCGGCCAGGACGATGACGTTACCCTAGAGGCCTGCCCGCGCCCTCTCCCGCCGCCAATCCCAGCACTTGCCATGGCTGTCCCTCCGCCGAGCTGGGGCTTCCGCTGATGTCCGGGCCGGCGGAGAGCGGCTGCCTCTGAGCACCGCCCGTTCCGGCGCCTCCCGGGCATCGGGCTCTCGACCTGCCCCGGCCGAGCCGAGAAATCGAAAGAGAAACTACGGGCCCCGAGTCCCGGAGCCCCGCTGCGGGAAGGCCTCCCCCGCGCCGCCTCCCGGCCGCCGCTGGAAAGCCCGTGCAGGAGCGGGGTCCTGATTCTCACCCTTGGCGGCTGGAAGCCCCGGTATCCAGCGACGCTTCCTCGCAAGGCAGCGCACCCTGACCGGCCTGCGTTATCTGCTCCTGCTGGTCCTTATCCCACTGCCTCCATGCTCCCTGCTGCGCTCCCACACAGAAGGCTCATACGCCAGGTGCCCCCTCACGGCGAGGCACGGGTAGGCACAGGCACACAGGCACGGCGACACAAAGCCCTCGTACACCTGGACCGGTACACCCACGGCGGCATCCGAACAGTCCCACACCAGGGCTGACCGGCTGACGCCAGCGACACGTAGGTCTGCCTCATGGTGGAAGCTGCAGCTGTGAAAATATCAAGGGTTTGTATGTAATACGGGTATAAAAAAGTCACAGTTCTTCAAACTTCCAGTCAAAGGTTAATTAACTCCAAGTAGGTAGAAGAAAGGATATCGCCATTTCTAGAAAATCACCTAAATTCTGTACTCTCGTTTCTCATAATTAAAACCAGCCTTTTTGTGGCACCACCACTGCTTTGAAATTTAAACAGTATAACCAATTTATCAGAGAGAAAAACAACACGTTTACAAAGCCTGATTGTCTTAAAATGTTACTTGATTTTATGTACTTAAAACGTGTAGCTTCTCACTACTCCCCCATAATGTGATACCTTATAAGAATTTTAAACTTCTTCCCTTTTTAAGGATTTATTACTCAACATTTATCAGTGAGGTACAGTTAAAATGCATGACATTTTTTACTTTCATCAGTTTCCTCTCTTTTCTTTTTAAGTCATCTGAACTTACCAACATTTTTAAGGCTGTGTCATGCAAAAGTATGCAATCTCCGCAAATACTTCAGTACTACTACCATTTTTATTGTTATTTCATAAATGTCAGATATCAATCCCTGATTTTGCATGCACTAAACAGTAAGAGGTGCTACAGCCACATGTATCTCACCCAACACTAAACTCAGAATCGGCTGTGGTACTAGCAGCCTTGGATTTTCCCATACGCAATGTATTTATTGCCTACTAATAATTTCTCTAGAATAATGATACCTAAGGTGTGTTTGTAGTGCTCTTTCTGCACTACTTCGGCACTGTGCTTTTCCTGCACACTAAAATGTCAAATACTTTGAAAATAAGATATTTTCAATGTTAGACCCAGGGTACTTTGAAGTTAACATTATTGTTGCCAAACCGTTTCAGCTGCCAAGGGTAGCAAATAAAAACAGCAACAGCATTAAAAGAAAAACATTCCTCTTTGGAAAAGAAATCTTCCTCTGACTTTGCACTTTCATTTTATTTCAAAGATCTTTCAGAATGAGAACTGAAAGAAAGAATTGGAAACGAAAGGAGGGGCTTTATACACTCAAAAATTAATTTGCCCTAAACTCTGTGTGCTTTTTTCCATCTGATCTCCCTCGACACCCGCCCGCGCCAGTGGCCTGGCCAGCTGCCCACACCAAAACACATACCGCAGACGGAGTGTTCACTGCTTCCACATCATTTTTGCAAAGCAATCTGGTTTTGATAAAGAATCATCTCAATTTTTAACTCTAAAGTAAGCAAAGCCATGAATAAAAATAAGGAAAGATTTAATTGCTGAAACAAATGTTAAAAACAAACAATAAACCAGGCTATTAACATACAGAAGCTCAGCACAATTTGCATCAGATACTAGGAGAAGTAACAGTGTTTCAGCAGCTAAAAGCAATTACTGCTACAGCATTTCTTATAAGGTGCAATTTCTTGAGTGAATCTGTGGTTATTTTACACTCTCCATTTCCCTTTTTCTAGTTTAATTCTATCACTCATTTGGCAATGGAGATTTTATGTAACTACAAGGTAACTGTTTTCAGGTATTTCAGTTATGGTGGCACACAGCAATCTAAGCAGGACTGGAGTCCTGTTAGAGCTACTATCTGAAGCTATGGCACTTCAGAAAAGCAGTTCTGTGAACAAGCGTTTGATTGGGATTGCATATGGCTTTTATAACAAAAATGTAAGATTAAATAGATTTATCCCACTTTGGAGTATGGGAACTATCTAAAATTTGCAAGATACAAAACCTGCAAATTTACAGCACAAGTTTCAAGTGCTGTAAAGGCTTTTTCTGTGACTTTGATAAGGAAACTCTAGAACACAAAGCAGTTGAGTTTTACTGAATTTCTATGCTGAGTCTGTGCTGTTACACAAATCAGGTAGTTCCTTTTTTTTCAAGTATACATATCAGAACTTTAAAGCACAATGTCTGCATAACTTCCTATGCCTCTGATGAAACAAAACAACAGAACTTTCTGAGATCAATTACATCTTCCTATATGGCATTCTAAGTATCCTCTTCAAAACAAACCCATGTTGCTCCTTTTGATGCATATTTGATTTTCTCTATTTCCCCACCATTATTACTAGGCTTTTGAAAATGGATTTTAATCATGTCCTGCACACTTTCCTCATCATCTTCCATCTCTTTAATTCCTTCCAACAGAATGGTCTTCTTAGAAATCCCACAATAGAGCTATTGAGGAAAGAAAAACATGTATTACACATCAGCTATTGCACATACATCGAAAGGAGCTGAGAGATACTGGAAATAAACATATCTGTGGTCAGGTATGGCTAGGATTATTTATTACATTTTAAGACTTTGAACAGCGGGTTATATTTCTGTCACTTAAAAGAGCAGGAGGACTCTTTGGTACACGGCTGAGTTCAACAGGCAATGCACCTGTCTCCTTAACTGGTGTGTCCTACACTCCTTAGTGCATGCACACATTGGATTTAAAGATCTCTAGATTTGAAGATTACTCTAGACAGCATTGCTCCATAAAAATCCATGCCAATACATGATACACACCTGCAAAGAATTCTGTTGCATCTCCTAAACGTGCACACCCTAGTCAATACTTTAATTATAAAGGCCTGGTTACATACAAAATACTGACTTGATTACAATGAATGAATGAATAAATGAAAGAAAAATGAATGAGCAAATGCTTTCTAGAATAACAAGGGTGTCTGCTGAGACTTTCATCAAGGCATTCTTACTAGGGATGAACATGACAGTGCTTTGTGACTGGAAAAACATTGTTGTGTCTACTATTAACCTACTTCACAAACAATTCAGTATCTGCCTCCTGTCTAGCACAGACATTATGGTAAGTAATACAATTTGATTGAGGAAAGACATGCACATCCTTTTAAAATTATAGCTTTCACACTGCAAAACATAAGATTATAACCAGAGCATCATATTGCAGACTCAGACTTGCTACTAAGTTTCACAAATTGCATGACACAAAAGCTTCTGCAGTCCTCAGAACTGAAAATTCTGCTTATATCTTGCATTTCCCATGCATCTGTTCTATTTAGGACTCGATTCTTTTACCTGAAAGTTCTCCAATTTTACATTGGTGTCTGGGGAAACAGGAAGCCTATACGACGTTCCATTTACAACAAAAGGATATTCAGTACATCTCACAAAGCTGTTAGCTGCTGTAATGAAGAATCAGAAAAAGAGAAACAAGAGTAATATAATCTAAAATGCATTTTATAAGAGTATCAACAGACTAATCTTTCTTATGTGGATTTAGAAACTAATATATCATAGCACACTTGCAGATTCTTCATATGCATTTTGCAGAAAGTTTACATGGCATTTCCAAAAAAGCAAAATCATTAAATACCCACAAAATCTAAAGCAGCTGTTCTAAATGGATGTGGCTCCACTAATCTTCAAAGAATTTAATATAGTTGGGCAATCTGAATGCCTGTGTAACTTCATTGTCATGAAACAAGCTAAAATCAAACACATTTTCATCGTTTTCTTTTTTGCAATGTGCTTAGCAATGCAAGGAAAAAAGAGGGGTTTGACAAAGTTAAGAAAGAAATAAAGCTCACAAACTATGTATCAGGTCATAAAATCTTGGAATCAACTAGGTTGAAAAAGACCTTTAAGATTACCAAGTGCAACCTTTACCCCAAGACTGCCAAGTCCACTACTTAACCATGTCACTAAGGGCCCCATCTATATGGGTTTCTGAACACTTCCAGGGAGGGTGATTGCACCACTTCCCTGGGAAGCCTTTCCGTGAAGAAATTTTTCCTAATATCCAGCCTTCCCTTGCACAGCTTGAGGCCATTACCTCTTGCCCTATCACTCATTACTTAGGAGATCAGCCACCTCCTCACACCGTCCTCCTTTCAGGTAGTTGTAGAGAGCGATAAAGTCCCCACTGAACCTTTTCTTCTCCAGACTAAACAACCCCAGTCCTCTCAGCCATTCCTCTTAAGACTTGTGCTGCAGACCCTTCACCAGCTTAGTCGTTCTTCTCTGGCCCTGCTCCAGCACCTCAATGTCTTTCTTAAGTGATAAAACACTGCTTTTACAGATGTGTGAGTGAACCCACATGTTTTTCCTGATCTGCTTAACTCTCCATGGGAAGAATTTGCTACATTCAGTGGTTAAGTTAACACAGCATATAATACAGAATAGAATGCAATGCAGAATGGACAGTATGGCCTCTACATCTGGCCAACAACATATTACGTACTATACCTCCAGGTCTGAGGAACATAATAACAGCTGTTCTAGACTGCTTGTCATAGTTCACGTTTTCAACTTTTCCTCCTCCCTGTTCAGATTTGTAGAAATTCAGTTCTAATTTGTCTCTCATCCAGTCTTCAGGAATGGATAGTTCAGGTACTTCTGAAACATTAAACTTCTTTCCAGAAATAGTGACATGGAGCTAAAAGAATATTTTTTTTTGTGCACTTTGTGACTGAAAACATCTGAACCCAGAAACATAAAGCTTTTTAACTACTGCAAATTCCTATCTTTATAGTTTCATATTTCAGTCGATTACCTTAAATTTGATTCCCATTTCAAGTGTAAAAGGCATCACTCTCATATCTGCTGTTTTATTGTCCAGGTTCACAGTATGTTTACCGATTTCTATCAGTCTCTGGGCAACTAAAGAAAATCACAAGTTTTCAGATATTTAAAGCCTTGTTTAATCATGATAAACCCAAGACTATTCCCCCATGTCTTAAGCAAAATCTCTTTTTGCATCAATAACAGAGGAATCCCAATATCCATGTATTCAGAATTATCTATTTCTGTTAAATCTCACTGGTTATAGGCGCCAGGTAAAATATTATACTATCTTTAGAGTGGTATAGAACAGTAAAATCTTTATGCTGTCAAAAGATGCTCTCACTATAACAAATATTAATACTAGACTTCTTGTATTTCATTTAAAATATCCTTGAACAAAAACCACATTGCTACGAGGTACAGAGAATGGTGATTAGAAATGTTAGAGTTTAGTTGTAAGAAAAGAATTGGACCCTAGCTTTTGTATCCGGAATATATTTGCATGCATAACTGAATTACCCACCACTAAAACAGGCCCAGGCAGAGTGCCTGCAGGCTGCCCAAACAAGCATCTCAGCAGGAAGCAGGCAAGTTACAGACTGCACAATCCCTCTGATGTCTCAGATCTACCCATCATCTGCTGTGTTCACTTAACCAACATAACTGCCGTCAGAATAAGGTACTGCCCAGAGTAAAGAAAAAAAGCAAATTCTGCTGTGAGAACATTCTGAATCATTCTTGACAATACTCTCTGAGGTAGAAACACATTCCCAATTTTAAACACGAAGTATTGTTTGTATTAGCTAAGAGCAGAAATCTGGTAACACAACAAAAACATGCAGAGTACTTGCAAGAATTTTTTTCTACTGATTGGTATCATAATAGTGAATGGGTTTCTGTGTATTCTTTCTTTGCCTGTTGTTGATTTTATTTTTTTTTCCAAATGTTTATGTAAATATTTTCCCTTTAGCAACAAAATACATCAGAAACATTAATTTTGTATTTAAATATGCATCACACCTTCTTTGTCTTCAAAAGTAAGCAGCACCTGGTTTTCATCCAGTCTGAATGGGATTTTTGTAGTTACACAAAAAACACAGTGAGTATTCATGTCTTGATAATTATCCTTCGTGTCTTCCATGTGAGCTTCATTTTCATTTCTGCTACCTCTTTATTAATCTATGAAGATGCAAAAAAACCCCAATTTCTGTAATTTACTGCAGAGCAGAAAAATGACTGGTAGTCTTCCCTTGAAATGCTACACATACTTCATTTTTAAAGTTTAACAGTCAAGCAGATTGAAGTAATGGCTGATAAAACAGATATTACTTGTCTAAGTAAACTGACTAGTTGTACTTCTCTGTTCTTGAGGTTTTTGTCAATTAGGTGGGATTTCTTTTTTTCCTTTGATTAACTTTGAGCTTAAAACTGGCCTTACAGAATACAAACTCAATTGAAGTCCACAAAGATTTCCAGCTGCAGAAGTAGAATATTTTTGGTATCTGAAATTTGCAAAATGCAAGTATCAGAGTCACTCATGTTGCCATTTATTTTTGCCTAATTGCATCACTGCTCTGTAGAAATGGGAACTGCTAATACAGAGCCTTGCATGTTTCCATCTTAGTAAA